TTGGAGGATTGATAACAGGCCAAAAAGGATTGGTTGTTTTTTCTTCTAGGAGGTAACTATGCCTCCAGTTGTTCTGGTGATGCTCGCCTCAGTGGTTTTCTAGAAACCCTCAAGATGATGACTCAAAGAGGGCTGATTCGTGGACACCTAAACAGACTTCTGTAGTCGGCTGATGGTATGGTGTTTTCTCTCTTGTTTGGATTGGATTTCAATTGTGTGGTAGTGCTAATCGGCAGGTATGTGTAGGGACGGTTTTTCTTTTCCTACTTGTGGTTGAATATCTGTGACAGATATAGGGCCTCGTGCTGAGCCCGATGACAATGAGTGTTTCAGCAACAGTTATTCAATTGTGGTGTGATGTGCCATGTAGTGAGTGCTGAATAGTGAAGGGTGATTCTTGTAGTTGAATCTTTTTTTTTACAATGGCAACAATTGGAGAGGGTAGTTATAGTAAAACTTAGGCCCCGTTCGCTTTTCAGTAAGTTATTTACCAGGGTAAATACACTTACCCAGGTAAGTGTTTCCCAGGAAAGACTTACCCAGGTAGGTGCATTTACCCATGTTCTTTTATTTCCCATGTAAATAAGGCAATGACCATTTTAACCATAAAATTTAATAATTAAAAGGGGCATTTTTGTCCCATTCAAGTGTTGGCAACTTTCCCCCAGGTGAGGAAGTTATTTACCCACCTGGGAGATGGGTATCACTACCCAAGAAAATAAACTTTCCCTAGTCCCCATATAAATCTGAAAAAAGAACATGGGTTTCTTGGTCAATGGGAATCAAAATCCCATTGACCAACTTTATCTCCTCTCAAAATCCAAAAAAAAAAACACCCCCTTAGTGATTCAAAAGGCACACCTAAGGTGCGCCTAGGTGCACAGGCGAGGCGCATTTTAGGGCATATGCCTTGCCCAGGTGCGCCTAGGTGCATCCCTTTCAAACCCTCCACATCAGTGTTTTAAAACGCGGAGGCGTTCCACTACCTAGAGGCGTGAGGCGTAATTCAGAACGCAAGAGGCATAAGCCTCCCAAACACAAGGAGGCGTAAGCCTCCTTAAGAGGAGGGGGGGTATGAGGAGGATGAAAAGGAAGGGGGGATCTCATTTTTTCTTTTTCTTTATTTTTTAATAAAAATCTTTTATATTAAGAAGAATAAAGATGCATAACAGTAGTTCAAAGGGGGCGGGGGGTGCCCCCCAACCGAAGGGACAGGCAAACCATTTTCTTTCCCCTTATCTTTTCTTCCCTTCCCTTACTTTTCTTTTCTTTCCTTTTCTCTTTTTTTCTTCTCTTTCCTTTCCTTTTCTTTCCCTTTCTTTTCTTTTCCTTTCCTTTTTTTCCTTTTTCTTTTTTTTTTGTATTGATGTGCATGAGGCACAAGAGGCGTATGCCTCTAGCACGCCTCATGAGAAAAGCGTACGCCTCTTGCACCTGAGGCGTACGCCCCAGAGGTGTCAGCGCCTCTGGCATATGCCTCAGGGCGTTTTGGGAGCGCTTCACCTGGAGGCGCGCCTCCAGGCGCACGCCTCCCACACCTTTTAAAACACTGCTCTACATCTACAAGTGCTTCTAGGAAGGAGGTGGTGAGTGTCCACGTGATAAGTATAAGAAATTTCTTCAAACTTCCTCTTAGCAGAACACAACCACCTTTGCTCACTCAGGAATGGCTTGCTTGGCATCTAAACCTTCACATTGGATTATTGATTCTGGAGCCTCTTATCATATGATTGGGACTCCAAGTGTGTTTTTTTCTTTTTCCCAGTCTTCCACATCTCAAACAGTTACCCTAACTAATGGTTATACTTCTCCTATTTGTGGGGTTTGTGTTGTTGATCTCATATCTTTATCTTTATCCTTTGCTTTATATGTACCCAAATTTCCTTTTAATCTCATGTCTGTTAGTAGATTGAAAAAATCCGTTAATTGTTCTATCACCTTTTAACTCTCTTTGTGTGTGTTTCAGGATATCAAGACGAGGATGAAGATTGGTCGAAGGAATGAAACTAGTGGTTGTATTACCAGTGCTTTAAAAGCACAAGGCACAAAAAAGGCACAGGGGTCAATTTGTGCCCGAGGCACACGCCTTTTTGAAGCAAGGCACAAAAATTAAAAAAAAATGCTAAAAAACCAAACAAATCAAAAAATATTAAACATAATATTAATAAATTATATACTTTAAATTTTAAATAAATGTTTTAAAAAACCAATTATCTAAAATTAAAATACATAAACTTAACGTGTAAAGCATATTCAAATGTGAATTTAAAAATAAAATCAAACATATAAAACATTTTCAAGCATGTAAAACCCATTATCTCTTTTTTTTCCTCAATTGCATTACTTAAAATAGGTAATGTGGTGTAAAACATATTACATTCCTGATTCTAAGAGCCGCCTTTGTGCCACGCCCCTCAAGGCAAGCCCAAACGAGTCCATGTTAGGGTCCAAAATTCTTAGTTCTTACACAAAATCAAGATATTTTGTGTGAGAACTAAGAATTTAGGACCCTAACATAGACTTATTTGGGCTTGCCTTGAGGTGTGTGGCACGGGGGTCTAGGGGATGAGCCCCTTGCCCATCCGCTAGGATCGAAAAAAGCAAAAATAAACAACAAAATTTCAAAAGGCGCAAGCCTGGGCTGAGACGCATCAGATTAACTAGGTCCTTTTAAATCACCTAGGATCTGGGCGAGGCGCCTACCCTAAAATATGCCTTGCCTGTGCGCCTAGGCACGCCTTTTAAATCATCGGTATTACCTTGATGGTGGTGGTACAAAAGCACTTCAATCTTCTCTTAGTCCTCCCCAATGGCACTCAAACTTGGTCATCCATCACTCAAGGATCTGAAGTTACTAGTTCTGCCATTGAGTCATCTTTTTTCTTTGGATGTGAATCGTGTCAGTTTGGAAAACACCATAAAGTCTCAATTAGTCCTAGGGTTGATAGTCGTGTTTTGAGTCCATTTTCATTAGTTCATTCAGATGTTTGGGGTCCAAATAGTTGTACAATGGTTATAAGTACTTTTGTAATTTTTGTTAATGACTTTTCAAGAATGACATGGCTTCATCTTATGAAAGACAGAAGTGAATTGTAGGTCCAAATAGTTCCTCCACCTCTTGTGTTTTCTCTTCCTATTCTAGCTGATGACCCCATTCCTACAATTCCTGTTATGCCTCAGTCGTTGATTTCTCCAGTGTAGGTTAGCATTGAAAGGTTACCAGTCACATAAGTGTATACTCATAGAGGGGCTATTACCTCTCCAAGGTGGCGCCAAGCAATGGAAGAGGAATTGTCTGCACTAGCACACAATCATAAGTGGGAGCTTACCACTCTTCGCCTGGTAAGCATGTTGTCAAATGTAAGTGGGTGTATACTATGAAATATCTTCCAAATGGCAATGTAGAAAGGTTAAAGGCTCAATTAGTGTCCAAAGGCTACTCTCATTTGTATGTAGTTAACTACACGAAAACGTTTTCTCTAATGACTAATATTCGTTCAGTTCAGGTATTGACCTCTCTAGCAACAATGTATGATTGGGCCCTCCACTTTTAGTTTGATATTAAAAATGCCTTCTTACATGGTAACATCCTTGAGAAAGTATATATGGAGCAACCACCGGGGTTTGTTGCCCAGGGGGATGATGGTAAAGTTTGCAAACTTAAGAAGGCAATTTATGGACTAAAACAGTCTCCACGTGTGTGATTTGGCAAATTCAGTGAAGTAGTAAGGGACTTTGGCATGAAACACACTAGGTAAACCATTCCGTGTACAGCTATGAATCGAAGGCAAGAAAGATCTTGCTTGTGGTGTATGTAGATGACATTGTCATAACTAGTAGTGATAGCATGGGGATTGACAGGTTGAATACGTTTCTGCCTAAT